AGCCCTAACCCTCTTTAGTATACTTGTCCTACTGCTTGCTTTAGGTTTGGACTCAGTCACGCCCTCCAACTGGACTCTGAGTCAAAGAATCACTTTAGCCCTAACCTATCTAACCTATGTAGGGATCCTCTCAATTCTTACATGTTTGGACTAAACTCATTTTTGTTACTTTTCTTACGATTCTAGAAACTTTGTTTAATCATCATTGGTTGTTTTGTTAATTCAAGTAGGATTTCATATTCAGGTAATCCAAGCATCCAAGCAATGGTGCCTCCTACCTCACCCTACACAGGAATTATGGGTGCTGGGTAGTTATATAGGACTTTATTGATACTTATAAGCTCACCCCTGAGGCGGACATCAATGTGATAAATGCATAGGGGCCATCCAAATAGGTGGTTGGATCCAGCAGACCTTTACCTTATATACCCATCAATCAGCCGCTTGTTACAGATCAGCTAACATTTGCACTTATGCTGGCAGAAGGTACTGGATAGGATGGATAAAAACCAAATATGTAGTGGGATACATCTGCCAAGGTCCATGCACAGGGGCAACAAGAAAATGGGCCGGTTGGACATACTACAGGCAAATAGGTATCTCAGATGGAAGAAGAGTCTAAGACTATGCCCGAGACCAACTAGTCAAAGAGACTGTACAGTGAGTAATAGAGCAGACAAACCTAAACCACCTCCAGGACTCAGTCCAATTTATGACCCACTTAAAAGAAACTTTGGCCAAAACCTAGACCTCTCAACCTTGGAAAAGAATCTCTTTGTCGACCTTGCTGAGAGGATAGCCCATGAACTTGGTATTACTAAATGTTGAGTGTGTGGAGAAGAACTCATGAGCAAAGATTGGCCTTGGAAGGGAACTAGCCTAGATGCCTTTTACCACCTCCAGTGGAACCACATGGTAGCTCAACATGAAGAGGATCGACCTAAGAGTTGGGTCCTCTCCTCCAAAGTAGTAAGAGAAGAATGTCTTGGCCAGATAAGTCCAAGATACAGTCCGTGGGTTAGGGAAACTCCATGTAAAAGAAGGCTATTTTTAAAATCACACAAACTTAAACTGGTAGCCCCAAACTCCTTTCTGGTATTGGGCCCCAACAGCACTATAACTACCTCCTCCTTGTGCCACTCCTTTGACCAAAGCTCAACTGTCACAAACTGTACTACAGAAGAGGGCCTGGTCCCTAACCCCTTCCGCGCCATCCCAGCTATTGGCCCATTCTAGGAAACCCTCAACCCCACTGACACCAGGAGTTGGGAAGCACCAGATAGTCTCTTCTGGATTTGTGGGAAGAGGGCTTACACCCAACTCCCAGCAAACTGGAAGAGAAGTTACACTATCAGGATCATTCAACCTGGCTTCTTCCTCCTACCAGACCAAGGAGGAAATGAGCTAGGTATTCCCTTATACCAAGACTTAAAAGCCAGAAATAAGAAGTCACTTAAAGTTGAAGTAGGGGGACAACAAAAATGGGGAGAGGATGAATGGCCACCCCACAGGATTATCCAATACTATGGCCCCACAACTTGGGCACAAGATAGGAGCTGGGGTTACCAGACTCCCATATACATGCTTAATCGAATTATCAGGTTATAGGCTGTACTAGAGATCATTACTAACCAGACAGCCTTGGCCCTAGAACTCCTGCCTACACAACATCTCAGATGCATGTGACAATATATCAAAACCAGTTAGCTTTAGATTACTTGCTAGTGGAAGAAGGAGGAGTATGCGGAAAGTTTAACCGATCCAATTGTTGTCTCCAAATAGATGACAATGGCCAGGCTATAACTGATATAGCTACTAACATTAGAAAAAATAGCTCATGTACCCATCCAGATTTGGAAAGGATGGTACCCTAATAACCTCTTTGGGTCCTCTACTTTCCGGGGCTTTAAAACCTTAGTTGGAACAGTACTCTTTCTCCTTGGGGCCTGCATCCTTCTCCCTTGCCTGATGCCTCTTATTGTTCAGTCAACTACCTCCCTTATAGAAGCTATGGTAGAGAGAAAAACTGCAGCAAAGATCTTTATGTTGTGGAAGTACCAGCCTCTAGCCCAGGAAAATCAAGAGGTTGATGTCCTATAAAAATTTAAAGGGCATCAAAAGGGAGGAATGAAGAGGAATTTCCCACTTAAGCTAACTTTGTAATCAATTCTTTGCTCTGTTTTTGTAAATATGCTTGCTGCATAGGCCAACGATCTCAGGGTCAACTGAGAACTCACCCTCCCCTTTAGTTGTATTGCCTTAGTGCCTGTTTAAAAAAAAAAAAATTCTCCTGCTCTGTAAGTGCCCATAGCAACTCCTGGAGTCTGTAAATCAGCCCATGCCAACTGTAACAATGCAGGTATAAAAGCGAAATTGCCCCTAAGCTCAGGGCCCAGATTTGCAGAGCACTAGCTCTTCTGGGACCGCCGGCATAATAAATCTGAGTTCTCCAACCCTCCAAGTATGGCTTGATTTCTTGCTGATCTGAGTTTTGCAATTTTTCTGCAACAAAGTCAGCCAACAAATGATGCTGAAACAACTGGATTTCTATCTACACACAAAAAGATGAATTTACCTCACAACATACACAAAAAGACCTAAATGCAAGAACTAGAATTTTAAAACTTTTAGTAAAAAAACAGAGAATATCTTAATGACCTTAAGTTAAGCAAAGATTTCTTAGACATGAAACCAATCCATAGAGGAAAACAACTGGACTTCATTAAAATTAAAAACTTTTGTACTTCAAAGATATTAAAAAAATTAAGTCAAGCCAACAAATGGGAGAAAATACTTGCAAATTATATATCTGATAAAAGACTTGTATCCAGAATATATAAAGAACTAGTAAAGCTCAATAATAAAAGACAAATAACCCAATTTAAAAATGAGCTAAAGAACTGAACAGGCTTTTCACCAATGAAGATATACAAGTGGCCAAATAAGCATATGCAAAGATGCTCAACATCATTACTCATTGGGAAACTGCAAGTTAAAATCACAATTACATATCACTTCACACTGGTTACAACAGCTATAATCAAAAAGTCAAAAATAACAAGTGTTGGCGAGGATGTGGAGAAACTAAAACCTCATAACCTTGCTGGTGGAAATGTAAAATGGCTCAGCTACTTTAGAATACAATTTGGCAGTTTCTGAAAAAAATTAACAGAATTTTACTATACAATGAAATAATGCTATTCCTAAGAATCTACCCAAGAGAAGTGAAATCACATTCCACACAAGGACTTGTACACAAATGTACGCAAACAGTATTATTCATAGTAGCCAAAAAGTGGAAACAACCCAAATGTCTATCAACTGGTGAATGGGTAACCAACACGTGGTATACCCATGCAATGGAATACTGTTTAGCATTAAAAAAGACAAAGTGCTGATAAATTTTATAACGTGATAAACCTGAAGAACATGCCTAGTGAAAGAAGCCAGACAGAAAATCATAGTGTATGATTCCATTTATATGAAGTGTTCATGAAAGGCAAATCTCCAGAAACAGAAAGTAGATTAGTGATAAACAGCAGTTTAAAAACTTCATTTATTCAGATTCTAGAATCTGAAGAGTAATTTAGCCATTAAAAGTTATAACATGTGTATACTGATATGTCTGCCTTGAATTAAAAGGCAGATAATAAATATAAAATATTCTTAATTTTTAAATATACACTTATATATTCATAAGAGGTCTAGACAAGCATATACCAAAATATTATCAGTAGTTAATTGTAAGTAGTAGGATTATAAGTGGTTTCACTGTTTTATTCATTTGTATTTTTTAAATTTTTCATTAAACTATACATACATGTACGTATATATACATATATAAAATAGAATATCAGACCAAGAAGGAACCTTGAAGATCCTCTATTCAGCAGCCTTTGAACCATATTCCTCACCATGGTGGTGGAAAACAAGCTGATGAGATTCCACTCCTAACCCTCGCAACATTTGATAAAAGGAAAAGTCCTCTTTGAAATAAAATTTTGGCAAAGTAAATTTATATCTTATTCATTTATTCCTTACCTTGCTCCAGAAAGGATTTTAGGTAGCTTCTAAAGATAGGTGGAAAATGTTTAAGTAGCAAACTCTATTTATTGGTGAACTACCTCTTAGTCATGGTACTCGCCCCACACACACATTCTTGCTGCAATGCGGTCTAAATCAGTTCTTCTCAAACTAAATATGAGCAAGGGATATTGTCCCCACCCCATGAGGCTGTTACAAGATCAATTTAAATGGATAGCTAAAAAAAAATTTTAAACGGATAAAATATAACCTTAAGTGTTCAGTTATTAGATTCAACAAACAGAAAATTACTGTTACATGACTATAAAAGTTTCAAAACATTTACTTTCAACTTCTGTACTTATTTCATTGTAAACTACACTTTGGGTTACAATCTCTGAGTGGCTCAGTTTTATATTATAGACTCAGAGTTTTATATTATTCATATCAGAAGTGAAGATACCTTACCCAAAGGGAGATATCAATGGTACAAAAAAGAATAGCAATAGCAATTCTCAGAATATATTCTCCAAGTAAAAGAGCAGTTAGCAGCAGGACTTTAAAAGAAAGCTTAAACTGAAGGCGAGTTGGAGCAATAAAGAAAGAAGAGACTGAATTAGAGCCACAGAGATTACGGCAAGCCAAAGTAATAACCACACAGAAATGTGAATAAGCAGAAATGTAAGTAGAAATATTTAGAGAGATGGAAAAGAATAAGCAAGTATCTAGGGACAAAGATAGACATTTTGACTTTTGTGGACTGAGTTAACAAAGGAGCAAAAATTATGGCACAAAGTGTCCAATCCAGTTCCAGCTCCAGTTCCCATGAAGCATTCCTACTCATGCAGTCCCATGAAAGTTCTACTTCCCTTACATTGCATGAGAATTTTTCCAATCAGTACCTCCAATTACTAACTTCTCCCTGATCCCTGCAACCAAAAGCAATCCTCAATTGAAGGAAAAGAGTGGAGACTTACCTTTGGTTATCTCCAGTGGTATTACCTGAAGTGTTTAAACTCATGACGTCTTCCAACTCTTTCAAAATACCCCACTGTTTCTTAAGGATATACTTCGTTACTAATGATTAAAACTGTCCAAGATGTCTGTGGCTACAGGTTAGATGTACTGAAGTCTGTTAAAATAGTAAACAATGTAACAGTGGTTATATATGTGAGTCCTGAGACTGGGTGAGTTTTCTTTTGTTCTACAACTTATTTGTATTTTTTAAATTATTGTCTAACAAACATATAAATACTTCTATTTTTAAAAGCCATGTTTTATTTCTTTTAAAAAAAGATTAGCAGTAAAAATAACAAAATGTTAGAAAGATTTTCCTTCTTGTAAAACAAGCTAATACTATTGTTTTCATTTCTCAAACAAAAAATTATAATAAAATAGTGACAAATTGTTCTTGAACTGGAAAAGGAATATGTAGTGCCTATCTGTAGGCCACAGAAAGACATTTGAAAGAAAATGAAGTCCAGGGTCATTTTGGGATCCCTGAATATTTTTCCATAAATGAAATATTTTTAATGCAACATTACAATAAAAGGCCAAAGTACTCCCAAATAAAAGATCTCATGGTAATTTTCAAAGGTCTTCTCCTAAAGGATCAAAGAGGAAGAAGGAAAGAGCAGAGTATTTGTCACTTATACCGGCCTTCTCTCTAGAACTCTCTTCTATGGGAGATATTCCAAATTATACAGAGCCAACCATTTAAAGTAAGTTACTTTACTACAGTATGAAGGAGTCTATGGGTAAACATTTTAAACAAATAAATAACAATAATTAAGTCCCACAGACACAAATATAAAGATGCCACAAATACCTCTTGGTATCCTCAGCAGAAGTCCAATATCCTAAGAAAGACCATGAGCTTTGGACTCAGAGAGATCTGAGTTAGGATTCCAAAAAATATCTTACAAGTATGTGGCCGTGGGCAAATCACTTACACTCTCTGAGCCTGCTTCCTCAACCATAAGCAGATAACTATATCGACCTCATATATTTGAGATTAAAAGGAAATAGGTGATACTTGAGGTGATTCTGTCTGGGGTAAAGATGTAATAAAAGAATTGTTTAGTAAAACTGCTGGTGTTCAGGGATATCTAAATGACCAAAATAAACAAACAAAAATGCTAAACCATTCTGTCCCTGCCCTTACAACCCTCAGTGTGATTAATGAAAGAAAAGGGACTCAAGCCAACTGGGACGTAGATTCAACCACAGTGCTGAGAACTGACTATGGCTCTACAGACAGATACCAAGAGGTCTTTAACGCAGTCAGTGGTTCATGCAGCTGGTAACAGAACAGTCTGACCCAGGACAAAGAGGATGTAATTTTTACCAAGATGAGGGGTGGGGCATCCCATTTCTCCAGGGACCTAAAAGACTAAGTAAGCTTAGGAATAGTGGTAGACAGACAAATAACACTGTCCTTAATTTACGGAGCACCTACTACATTGCCAAGCACTATATTTGGTACTTTATATACAAAACTCTGATACTTACAATACTGCAATGTAAAGATTATCCCAATTTTCAACAGAGAAAACTAAGACTCAGAGATCAGAAGTAACCTGCCAAAAGTCACATATTTATAAGACCAAGATTCCAACTTGTAACTAACTCAAAAGCCCAAGATTTTTATACAAGGCCACTGTTGAACCATAAGTTATTTTACCTGAGGTTTATTATCCTCACTTCAATTCAGGGAAGATAAGTGACTTGCCTATCGGCAGTCAGCTACTAAGTGGGAGACACTAAGCTCTGAAGCAAGCTCTTCTGATACTGAATCTTTTCACCTTACCACCATGCCCCCAAAGGTCAAACTCCAGAGAAACCACCTTCAGAATAGAAGTAAAAGAGTTAGAACCTAAAAAGAATGGTCTCTTCTACACATAAAAGTAAGGTCCAAGACACAAAAGTACATATATAAAATGTTAGTTTTTGTGAAAAGATTAAATACACATATGCATATGTGCATATATGTTACAACAGGCACAAAGAGAACCTCTATTTATCTCACAGGAAAAGAACTTACATAGTTAGGACTTTAATAATGTCTGTTTTGTTTCGTTTTGTTTTTTGTATTGTTTTTATCTTGGGCAGAGAAATGTGGGAAGAGGTAGTTTAAATTTAATAAATTTGTTTCAATAAAGCTAAAGTAGGAGAATCATCAATTTTCAGTGCATTATTTTGGTATCTAACATCTTCAAATCTGAATGGTCTTCTAGAAAGTGTCTTCTATAGCTCAGGAGCAACTTTCATTGATTTCCAGATCACTGATATGGATAATGTAAAAAAAGACAGATGGTCCACACCACCACTGCCCCCTGGTGTTTCTCTCTTGTATAAAACCCTCCCCTTTGTGCGCAGAACCTGTGACTTGTTTCTAATTAATAGAATATGGCAAGACGATGCATCCTACAATCACATTGTTATATAAGACACTACCTTAGTAAACTGAAGTGAGACGATCTCTTCCTAGTCTTGAAGAAACAAACTGCCATGCTAGGAACTACCTATGGAGAGGGCCACATGGCAGGGATCTGCAGGCAGCCTCCACCACACAGCCAGTAAAAAGCCACCCACATCCCTCAGTCATACAGACGCCAACAGGAAATAAATTCTGCAAACAACCTGAATGAACTGAGAAGCAGATTCTTTCCAGTCAAGCCTCCAGATAAGAACCCAAGCAACACCTTGACTACAGCCTAGTGAAACTTAACAGAAGGCCCTCCTAAGCTGTACCCAGACTCCTGATCTACAGAAACTGAGAGATAAGAAACGTATGCTGTTTTAAGGCACTACTTTGTGGTAATTTGTTACACAACAAGAGAAAACTAATATGGATAAGAAACTTGAGAATGCTCTCGCAGGGTTAAAAAGACAAAAAAAGAAGTTGAGTGACAGGTAAAATACAAAAATGAGTTCTCACACCAGCCACGCCTCTGTGTGTCTTTTATAAAGTCTCTTCATTTTTCTATAGCTTAATATCTTTATTAATTTAAATGAGGGAGTTTGTATAAATCCTATCTAAGGTAACTAGATAGAGAAACTAGATAATCATGGGCAATATTTACAAGAAGAACGACAAAATACAAATGAGGAAGGGCAAACCACCACAACCACAAAACCTGCAAAGAAATCAGTGGAAAAGAATAAGGCTGCATATGACAGAACCGCCAAAAAGCTGACAAATATTTAATGGAAAGCACTGCAGGCCAATTTGAGAGCAGCAGGTGAAAGTGGAAGAAGTCTACCCATTCACATAAAACAGATATATGATAAGAGAATCTTAAAAGAGTTGGTTCAGTCTGCCTCATGAACTTTCAAAACTGACCTGCTAAAGTCCCCTTCCCAGATAAATAATTGCTGTACAAAATAGTGAATATACTAAAAAACCACTGAATTGTACACTTTAAAATGGTGAGTTTTAGATTATGTAAGTTATATCTGTCTTTTAAATTCATCATCATAAAAAAAAAAACCTATCTAAAGTCTCCTTTACATAACTATTATTTTCTTCCTCTCTCTCTGATGTCAGCTCTTAATAACACTGGAGTTCAAGGGCCTACCTCTGTATATTTCAGGATAACTACATCAACAAAGGGCCAAACTTAAGTCAGTGGTTGAATTTAAACTATGATGGGATTTCTATGCTATCGGATATGGCAGAGAAGATGTAGCAAAATCTCCCTTTTCTTCCACCAGAGTGAAAAGAAGGTAAGGAATGATGATGACAATAGCTAGGAACAGTAATGAAAATGTAAATGGAATAGGAAATTAAGTCAAAGAATGCAGAGTCCCCACATATTATATATTCCTAGCTTTACTTGAAACTTCCCTATTAAACTCTACAAGTTATGATAAACAATAACTTGGCAAATCTACATGAATAAATTTCTTATGATATGTAATTAATGTCAGCCTTTTCTTCAACATCTGTGTAACTCTTTAAATAATGCTCTCCATTTGAAAATATTCTATGCATCATTATCTATGAACAAACTGATACCTCAGTCACTCCCTGTTGTCATCATTCCAACTGTGACAAATATCCCTTCTCAGGAATCATATTAAGAACCGTCTATAATCTCATTTCATTCTACACTAACACCAAGGGGAAGATACTGTTAATATATACTCCACTTGATACCTGAGGAAACGAGAGCTTAAAGATATTCAGTCACTTGTCCAAAGTCGCATCTCTAATAAGTGACAGAATTAGGATTCAAACCCAAATTGGCTGCCTCCAGAGCTCTGCTGTGTGCCTTGCTATTGGCCTTTAAAACATGGCTGGCCCCCGGCCAGGGAACATGTGAGACCTCACTTGTCAGGGAAGCACTCCTGCTCCCTGCTGCAGATTTCTCAAACACAAATCATTCTTCCCCAAATCCAAATTAACTACGAGTTAGGGTCTTCTTAATGAAAGATGACTCAGACCTCCAGTAGATACTCAGTGCAGATGGCATTTCCATAGGCTTGGGTTAAACTCAGGATGCTGTAGCAGTGATGGATAAAGACAAAGTTTAAATCAGATTTTTATGTTAATGTATTAATAGAGGAATTTTCTTGGTATTGGAGCTAAACTATTCTCACCATTCCTTCTAAAATAAAAGAGGGGATGTTATGTATATCATTCTTCAATAAGAAGTTCTTTAGAAAGAGGTAATAAGCAACCGAAGCCAAGATACCAAGGATCTGGACATCCTGAGAGGAAGCACCAGCCAGAAAGACAATTTGACCTTAGATTCCAGAGCCACTGCTGGTACAAAGTTTTCCTACCTCACATTTGAGTCCTTTAGTGCGTCATCCAGAATGTACTCATCTCTCAGCGTATCTGCACAGATCAGGGGAAAAGGGAAGGGGAGGGAGAATGAAAAGATAAAAACTGCTATTATTACTACATGCCAGATACTATACTATACCTGATCCCATGAATCCTACCAATAACCCTGTGAGATTATTATGCACATTTCACAGATGAGAACTTGGAAAGGATGAGTAACTTGTGTATAGATATTCAGTAGGAGGGTTAGAATTCAAATCCACATTTGGCTGACTTCATAGGTCCGTCTTCTTCCATTAACACACTGCTCTCTTCAGTAGTAACCACAATCTGTTTTGGGATGTCTATCTGCACACTTGTATATTTCATCTTTAAGGGGATGTTTGGTTATCAAAACAAGGCCAAGACAAAGGGCGGAGACAAAGAATTTTAGAAGTAAATGAGACCAAGTCGATCCTCCTTGTCTGGCAGATAATAAATCGATTGCCTAGGGAGCTTAGATGATTGGCCTGAGGACTCACACCCAGTAAAAGAGTAGGCCAGGACTAGTAGAAAGCTCCAGACTGAAACTACTCTCTTCATCTTTCCTCTTAGCAGGTGGCATTGCCTTTGTTTCTTCTTCATTTCATGAAAAAGCATGTTTATTTCCTGCTCTATCGTCTTTTTGTTGTTACTAGACACTAACTGTTCAATGAAACAAATGACAAAAGGGTAGGTTCTTTTCTCCAAGGTCATAAAACTATAAAACATCGATTTATAATGTATTCAAAATAATTGGAAACCAACTGAAATTGCTTCTCAAGTAAACTTACACAGTATCATTTGTGATCTGCTTATAACAAATATATATGTATTTTCCTAGGATAAATACCATAATAGAATAAAGAACAGTCAAAAGGAGGGTCAATTCCTGCAGAATAGTGTCAGGAAAACTGATAGCTGACTTTTCTAAGTCTCTTAGAGTCCTAGTGGGTAAGCAGTAGAAGCTACAGAAGGCAGCCTTGTACATCTCATTCTTTCATCTACCAAACATTTATAGTGTCGTGTATGTGGCCGGGTTTTTGTTTGTTTGGTTTTTTAAGAATGAAAAAAGTATGGTCTTTGTCCTCAAAGGGCTTACTGATGATCAGGAAAGAGCCCCTCAGTCCGGAGTTGTAAACCTAAGAAACTTCAAGTCCAGGCCCTCTTGGTCCTGCCCGCTGGTCCCTTACCCAGTCCTCTGGGTACCAGAGCAGCAGAGTGTGACTAGGATGCTCCAGGGAGAACTTCCTCCAGATGAGAGGAGAGGCTCAACCAGGGAGCTGGAGGCGTGTCCCCACTGACAAGAACAGCCCCAGAACAGCCCCAAACTAACTCGGCGTCCTCCATAACCCTCCCTGCAGCACCTCACACATACCTTTCCTCTGAATACTTCCCCACCAAATCGTTCGCCTCGAAGACCCCGCACCCCGTGGTTACCTCACGGGTCTCCCGTGGTCCAGATCGTACACCCAAGACCCCAGGGGCAGCTTCAAATCTCAATGGTAGAATGAGGCTCAGGACGACCGCGGGAGGAGGGGGTGGGGCAGAGAAAATCTGTTGGAACTGGACGGACTCTAGGACCCGGGGAGGGTGAACAAATAGCAAAGGGGGACTGGAGGACGACAAGCCCCAGGGAGACGCTGTTTACAACGGCCACTTCCGGAGGAGACTCGACTCCCCTCGCCGGCCTTCGCAGACTTTCTCAGGCCTCCGGCCCCGCCCGGGCCCGCCCCCTTGCTCCCGCCTCCGCCGCCGACCCCTCCAGGATACGCCCTCAGAGAATACCGCGCTCCGATTGGAAGAGCCGGGCCCGCGAAGCTGCGCGGCTTCCCTGGAAGGCGAGCCGACGCATGCGCCGTTGCTGGGGAGCGG